CCAAGCCCCTCATATTTTTCTTTCTACATTGAGACGTACATTTGCAACCTCGCTCTCAGAAGAAGAACCAGGCGACACTGTTTTTATGATATTAAAAAAGCTCAGACTTTTTGGTGCCGCTGATAGGAGACGCATGGTTATCGCGCTTCCATCAGAGGAGTCATCGGTACAGGCTGACAGCTTGTAGAGCTCTCACACTATCTGTTCCTCATACTGTCCCAGTCCTCCTCTGTGCTCCTGTATGTAATTACAGTGGTTAATCTTCTGCTTCTCCCCTGTCTCCTGCCCACTCTCTGCCTTCCTTATTAGCCCTCCTTTGCCCACCTGAGATTTTTGTCTTCTTCCTCTCCAATTTTTTCCCCTCGTAGCAGCAGAGTAGTCCAATCAGAGTTGCCATTGTTTATTGTGATAAGTTGGGATAATGAACAAATGACCTGCCACCTGGAGCACTTAGAGCCTGGTGTTAAACTCAGGTTATAAAAACCTCTTCCAGCTCTATTGATTTACTGGCAACATTTGATTGTACCCACGGGGCAGGGGGCCCGCAAGGCTGCACAGAGCTCTTACTGTTTTACAGTCCTTATTACACCAAACAAATAAATCTCCTGACCATTAATTCACTGCCTGTGCCCTCGCTCTCCAGACTGATAGGCCAGAAATCTGAGCAGATTCAGGCTGCTTGGCAGACCTGTGCAGATAACTTCATAGTTAGAGGCAACATTTCGTTTCCATGTGCCCCAATCCATATTGGATTAGCAGACCGCAGACAACTTTTAGTGTTCTCGGAAGATTTTATGATCTCCCAGGACAAATACAGGAGGAAGTGATTTGAGTTGGGCTATCCTGTTTTTTTGCAAACAACGGCCATTACTTCTATATCCTGTGGGGCTCTTTTACGATGCCCCGCAGTGCTTTTTTGGCTGCTTCTCCCCAATATACAGACCGAGTACATGGCACCTCACAGTAAGCCAAAAGTCAACCGCAGGGAGAGTCAGACTAGTCTGATTTTTACAACGGAAGGCAATTGTAAACACTCAGGGGGCCCGACGAATGGAACTAAGAGGAGTGTTGCACTGGTCCCAGACCAAAGGCTAAATCAGCGATACATCCAGGCCAGATGGTAATTTGAGAATGAGGCAATCTGCTTGTAAAACATTAATAACGGGCTGTCCAATGAAATCCGCACCAACAATTAATGATTTTAACCTTAGTGTTTCTTGGAATGAGCCGGTTGATGAGGATCTTGCCTCATCTGTTTCGAAAAAAAACAAAAAAAAACTGATGTAGCCTGTAATGCTGCTGTAAAATGGGTGATGTTAATTATTTATGGGGATAGACATGTTTGTGCACCTTCAAACTCTTTCAACCTCCCCCCTTCACACTTACACACACACAGGTTATATACTCCAAAACACCCCCTCTGGACTTTAACAGTACAGTGTACAGTTCTCTACCAGAATGACGAATAAATTGCCTGCAACACTAGAAGATGAAAGATTCACTGATTAGTTTTTGCCAACATGTTTACCATAGTTTGAATCACTACCATACCCGCTGATTGTCGATGTAAGGTTCAAATACACTTTCCATCCTGCCCACTGGTTTCCCTGTGGAAACTGACGTATAATTGTCAGCACATGTGCAACACATGCACATTCTGTAGCTCTGCTCACGTAACACGTGCACGCACACACACACACACACATGCACATACACCCACACACCCACACACACACACACACACCAAGAAAGCAGACTCATGTGGAGGAATCCTCAGAGTGATGTCACCTTCAAAATGAAAGACTAAAAGCTGCCAAAACCATGCTAAACTCAATGATTGGTTCAGATTAAACAGCTTGGTTAGCACACACAAACACACTTGCATAAACACATTCAAAAACACACATGCATGTATTTACCCCAGTGGGTACACAGTGTGCATTTCTGGGAAACAGTCCTCTGCTCAGAAGTCATCTCTCGGTTCTGATGTCTTCATCATCCAACAGGGACCGTGCTGCAGGAGGAAGATGCCTGCTTATCATGCAGGACTCAGGGGCCACAGACTGAAGGTGGCTTTGAACACTTAAGCTCTACAGGACGTGCATAGGCTTCAGCACCTGGAAGGTATAGGAGATGTTGGCTCACAGATACCTCTGACTCCAATTGAAGGATAAATCCTTTTCCCTTGTGGCCAAACGTGGCATGTAAATATTCATACACATACATGAGTGTAGTTATGATCAGTCGACCTTCAATGCAAACATTTAGAGATGGCCTAATCCATCCAAACCTCTCAGAACCTCAGGCCAGATCAAAAGTGAGTCTCCTCCAGCACGACGCATCACCTGGGATTGCTGCCATTATGATGTGCTTAGTCAGGGCACTCTAGTCACCGGATAAAAGACAAGACCACCAGACAGCTAACCAGCTAATCTGCCGAATACTCTGTTAATCTGACAGGCCGTGTTGAATAATGAATATGTACATTATCACAGAGGGAGGTATCACAGGGGACGCAGCGGATCACTTTCCATGGGGTAGGTGGACATGACATGTCTGTTATCAGCGTGATTTCTAATCAGTTAATTCACAGGTGAGTGTACACTTAGTGGGCCACACGTGTGTCATTATGACAAGCTATCCTCATCAAGCATTTGCAGTTCTTTTTGAATTAATCACTAACAATGCTTTCAATCACAGTACTCACTTTTTTAAATAAGACAACCTGTATGTGCATATGATTTGTCAATTAATGTGTATTTGAATCTACGGATGAATGCATACATGCTGCCATGACAGACCTTGCCTTGTCCACTGTTACAGAGACTTTCTACTCCGATGGCAGGTTGTCTCCCTGATTGATTTAAATCAAATACACATTTTATTGTTTACTTATTGATTATTGGGGATTCCTCCCCCCAAAGCTCTGTCTGAAAACATCCCAAACGCAACATGACATTTTACAGTCCTGTTTCCGACTGATGTAAAGTTCACACCGAACACCAGACAACAAGGTGTTGACATACAGGACCTATTTTCGTACATTTCTTCTCATCCCCCCCTTCCCCCATATTGGCCTCCCATTTCCTTCTGGGAGTAGGGCCCTGGCTTTACCTTTCAACCACGACACGCTACCTGTCACAGCACAGAACACACACACAGACACACACATCCCAGCGCGTGGTGCAAGAGGCATGTGACATCTGTTCTCTCTCCGGTGGGCTCCTCATGTCCTCGACCTCATCCACATCGTTTCTGAACACCTGGGAGGGAGGAGGAGGGGGTGGGGGCTGTATGACAAGGGTACATAGCAGGGGAAAAGGGGATGAAAGGGGGATCGTGCGTGTGTGTGTGTTTGCTTGCTAGGTGGCAATAGGTGGGGTTATAAAGAGAGAGCAGTCAACCATGACATCAGTCAAGACTGCCACCACCCTCCCTCCACCATCACTAACTTTCCCCTCCATGACCTTGACCTGAGTTTGGTGCTTTTTGACAGCATAGGTCCTTGTTGACAGCAGCTGTGCTTGCACACTGTGCCAGATGCACTGAATGTGGCAACAGTGAGGTTGAAGAATCAAAGGGTTAGCCTGACATAATGTGCTGCACTGTACATGCACACTGAAAAATGGGAGTGCAACTCGCCGACCTCTGCACTCGAGATACTCTGATAAGTAGGAAAATGGATAGCGCTGCAAACCTTTGCAAGCTGGTGGTTAGAGAATTAGGGGCATGAAAATCCAACCTAGGAACATCAGAGCAGGGAAAGTAAAATGCACACTCCCAAATAACTACTATGGGTAGTGCCCTTGAGCAACATAACTGCTTGAGTCATACTGCTTCGCAGCAACAGTAACCATTACAGCTCGCCACAGAAGCCAGTGCAGAATTGCCTTAAGCAGCAGTTCCAGTAATGGCTGGTAGAAGCTGGCTCTAAGACAACTCCATATTGAAACAGGAAAACTCTTGAAATATAAAGTGCATTAGGATTTCAAAGTTAGAGCCTCAAAGGTTATTTTCTTTTCTTTTAATGTGAGGTGAAGACAGCTGTGACAGTTTCAAACCCTCAGAGCACCAATACAATAGTTGGGTGTTTTTCACTCACTCAACATTTTCAGTTTCATGGTTCGGTTTCTGGCTGTATTATACAAGTTGTTATGTCAAATAAATCAGTACAAGACAGTTCTTTGGTACAACAGCGCTTTGAGCTAAATGCTAATGTCAACAACTCTGTAAGAGCAGCAAACAGTTGAGGGTGGAAAACCCAAAACAACGAGCTGAGAGATGCTATAAAAGTGAGGAGAACTGCGTTGAGTTCCCTGTGAATCTGTCACCAAAGTTGTCCCTTAAACTAAACAGCCATTTGATTTGTAGTTATTGCACGAATCAGTGTTTTTTAATCGGGTGTAATGAAGAGCTGTAGTCACATGTCATATTTCCATGGTGTGAGAAGTGCTGAAGGGCCTGAAGCAGACCCTGTGTCTGTTTAACACATTGACTCAGCAGGGTCATGGGTTCGTTGGCTCAGGTTCAGCTCCCTAACAGCCTTTTCAAATCATTAAGTAATGAAGTGGGTGCCATTCAAATATAAATGCATCCACAAGCCAGGACCCTTTCATGTCTCCAACCATAAATACTCTTGAATTTTCCTCAGAACCAATATACTTCTCAAAGCCATTTCCAACATCTGTTACTCCCCCCCC